ACTATTCGCATTGACCTGCGTGATATCTGCCATTTCACTGTGATGGTCAGTAAGAGTCGCAACCCCTTCTGATAATGACCAAACAAGATATCAGAACTCGATTGCTCAGCCGAAGAGCATGTCTGTGCCATAAGAGCGGAGCGATGGTAAAGGGACAACCTCTCGCAGTATATACAGTACTCCGCAACTGAATTTTCAATAGCAGCAAAATGGTGCATGGTGATCTCATCCTTTCAAAGACAGCGAAGTCCTGTGGAAACTCTTGATTATGAAGCTCATGGACTCTGACAAAATTCGAGGTTCAGTGTTTAACTGGCCAAAGAAATTGAGCTACCATTGCTTGTGATTAAGAAGTACTGGGGATATCTAAATCGCTTCTTTTTTTATCGAAAAACCGACAGCACAACCAGGAAAGACCCACAAATTCGTCAGAGAGTTTACACCGAATTTGGTAATGTCTTTAATCGAATCCTAGTCCACGGTGGCATGGCAACACAGGCTGAAATGATCCGCTTCGAACATGGAGGTGCCGGTTTAATTTCGGAGTACGGCAATCTTTGTCGTAATCATAAATTCCACCAAGGAATTCACCACACGCTGCTTCATACCGGGGTTATTTCGAGTGCCGGACGGACCACTCACCCTCCTTCCTTCTGAGGTTCATAAATGAGTGCCATTCTGTGAGAAGGAAAGAGGAAATTACACACTCTGCTGGTGACATACCTGCTATTGACTATGTCTTTAAAATAAAACACTCCTGACTGATAGTATGGAAATGCAAATGAAAGCCACATCACCGTTAATGATAGGAATAGCGCCAGAAATGGCCCCACCAGCAAAGTGTAAGAAAGGCCTAAATTCGAACGGCATAAACTTTTCCTTCCTTTTGTAGCCTTCGTTGGAAGAGTCCATTGTCGAATGTTGCATCAGAGGATCAGCGATTCCGGAAAAGCAATGCCGAGCACAGGTTCTCACATCAGCAAGACCCCTCGTATTATATAATAACAATGAATGTACATACGAAACATTCGGCGAAGAGCAGAAGTGACTGAAGAGAACATATTGCTATTACGCGATATCGACTTGTACTGGCAGACTTCCGGATGTGTGTTCCGACAGGCAGTGCCTTAATGAAACTTCGCATCACCGCAAATAACGAGGCTTGGATTCTCTTTCTTGTTGCTCACAGTTTGCTCTCAGGGTTCAGTAAATTCACTTACGCAAATTCACAAATATTAAACTCAAAGTTAGAATTAAACTTCGAATTCCACTTAGGAACATTAGCTACAGATAGCCTGAAGTACTTTATCTGATCTGCATAATACGCTTCAGATTGCCAGAAGGGCAATTGTATTTATCAGAAGCAAGCAGTCGACCATACCGTTAGTCCAACATAAGAAAAGGTCTACAGTGTGAAAATGGAATGCTGGAGGAACAGACGCCGCCACTGTATTAAATTCATCACGATTTTACTAAATGTTAGCAGCATGTTTCAGGACATGGTTAAAATATTTATCTTTCTGTGCTGAAGAGCAACAGTAGAGATATGACGAATATCGAAAGGTAGAAAAAGGAGCATTACTTGATTGATATTCTGCCTCAGGCAATCACTCATTTTGAGGTGCTGGAAAGCGACTGTCAAAGGTGCTGTTTCAATGCAACAACGAAGCGAAGAACATGACTCATCAACGCAACACCGGTGCAATAAAATAACAAACTTGGTGATCAATCATTCTGCTTTTAGGCCCCATTTCTGGGCCGGTTTCGTTTGACACAGGGACCAGTTCAATTTTGCCCTGAGTTTCCAAAAGTTGATGCATATTCTTGCCCTAATTTACAATATCAGAACGATTTCCTCCAATTAATTGGACTGAAGGAAAATACAATTGTCACATTACATTTGTTCCGTATTTCGTTAATGCTTTGTGCACCGTATTGAAAACAACATAAAACAAATTCATTTATGCACAACGCAAAAAATAGCAGTCAGATAATCGGCCGGTGCCGACGTTTCTCCCGTGTTTCTCGCAGGCCTTCTTCAAGGTAGAATTGTTGGTCGATTATGAAGGTTCTTTTAGTCGTTCAAAGCGGTCGGTACGTTTGGAGCCGGAAGGATATTTGCCTAACCCATGTACCGACTTTGAAGTAGGCCCATGAGACACGGACCGAAACGTTGGTATTGGTCAACAATCCAACTGGTCGTATTGTTAGCATTTACTCTGTTACTAGTACATATACTGTACTCAGTATTAAGGACCAAATTCAGTGACTCATCCAAAATACCTTGATGCCAAATGACATTTCTCCAATCCAGCCTGAGTAAAGTTTGGCAGAATTATGGAGGAAGCGACAGAAGAAACAGCCGTTGCTGATTCGGCATGTGTAGCAAAACTTGAAGCCTAGGAATGTAAAGTTTGCCCAGAAACGGATAGCTGGATGGCAATGAGGAAAGGAGGAAACGGCAAAAGTAGACGATCTGTCCCCGTTAGAAACGGCAGTAAATGCAACCAAAGCGCACAAGATCTTGGCGGATTGGAGAAGAAGTTAAACGCGCCAGCGAAAATTGTTCTTTTAAAAACTCTATTCTTTGTTATGAAAATTTCTGATATGATAGGACTTTTTCGTTCTTTCACTGATTCACTCAGCTAATGCCTGACTCACCCATTCGTAAAATCATTTATGCAGACATTTTCAATCGCCGTCTTTCCTTTGTACTACGTGATCCGTGTTCATCACCTTTGGATACGACCAATGGCCTCTGTTTAAAGCGCGACAATACCTTTCGCCCTATATCATCGAACAATTTGTTCCAAGGTCTGTCGTCGTCCGGCTTCCTTTCAAGTGGCTTGATATGAAAAAATGAATATATTCTACTGATAATGAACGACACGCGTTTGCCATAGGACTATGCATGGGCCTGTTGATACCGAAACAGTCGCACCTGTATTAGTGGAAAAATATTCTATCCAAACACGTCAGGGTACATGCTTTTACAGCTTAGGACAAAGTATTCTCAACGTGCAATAGTACCACAGGGTCATAAACGATCGGTGAGATGTGATGACGGTGCCAGAAGATCTGAGACTGGCATTTGGCTGGTATTACGAAATGATCCGAAAGCAGCTTGGAAATTTGCTCGAAACTTTCCTCAGTCTAGAACCAGTCGATCACTACAGATGTGTTGGTTGGCTTGTTGAAGAACAGCTACCTTTGATGACCAA